CCCTCCTCTTTTTCTCCCCCTCTCTCTTTCTCTGTCTTTCTTTCCGACTGTCCTACTCTCTCCTTTTCTCCTTTACCCCATTTCTTTGTCTCTCCCTCCCTTGCACTCTCCTTTCTTGTTCTCTCTCTCCAGGGGCGGACTGGCCTATGGGCATTTGGGCAATGCCCCCTGGACCGGTGCTGAAGGGACAAATTGGGCCGCTTATATAAAAAAAAGTTGTCTTCAGATCACTGTGTTTATAAGACCAGTACTCCTTTTCTTTCAAAGTTTAAGAAATCTACTTGTAACTTCGGGTGGAAAAAAACGTGTTAAAATGTACGATTTTTTTTCTCATTGCCAACTTGGCTGAGATCCCGGCACTGACGTAGACCTATTGAGCAACGTTCAGAAAGATGTTTGTTTTTAAAACATTAGTGGAAGGCATCTCGTTTCCGCTAAATTAGCTGCACGAGTTCCAACCAGTTTTTGTCAGTCAACCCAGAGACTGTAAATCATAATATTTAAATTAAGGGACCTTAAATCGGTGAAAATGTGGCAGAAGGCAGTATACTGGCACATGCAGCTGGACCTTCAGCAGTTGAAACAGCGGATTTTGACCAAGTGGACGAAAGCAGTGGATTGGAAGCTGCTACTGATCTATCAGCAGGTGAAGCAACTGAACTTGACGAGGTGGACAAAAGCGGTGAATAAGTTGCAGGACCATCATCAGGTGAAATGAGAGAAATTAAACCAACAATGGAAAGGGAAGCTTTGCCCCTGGCTAGCACAGAACAGACTGCATATACTGAACTTGAAGCCACAGGAAGTGAAGATTTCAGGAGTGACTACTTTAAGAAACCTTGCACTGGAGAAGAAAGGTTGTTGTTTTGGAATCATCATCCACGTCAGAAGACTGATAATCGAGTGGTGCAAAGAAGTTTCATTCGTGAAGACGGTTCTAACAGATGGTGGCTGTCTTATAACAAAGACTCCCATGCACTTCATTGTTCTGTCTGTTTGGTGTTTTCTGCCACTTCAGACACATCCGCATTTCTTGAAGGGATAAAAGACTGGCGACATATACATTCTCGTATTGAACAGCATGAACGTTCGTCTTTGCATCTGCAATGCTCAACAGCATACCTGGTTGATAAAAAACAATCTAGCATTTCTCACGTGTTGGCGAGGGACTACAGTGATGAAGTCAGAAAAAAACGACAAGTGATGAATCGAGTTGCGGATGTAGTTAAACTCGTAGGCAAGAGGGGAATAAACTACAGAGGAAGTACGGAAGAGGCAGCCAACACTTTGTGCAATGCAGAAATTGACCATTGTACTTTCCTGGAAATAGTTAAGTTGCTACGCAAATATGATTCAAGCACAGCTGATCAATTCTGTACAGACGAAGCTACATCAACAGCTGGCCCAATCAAGAAGTATTGTCTTGAAGACGTGTACTATCAAATTGTAAACAACCTTGTTAACAGCATTGAACAAAGATTTAAAGGATCTGCAGTGCCAAGATTGTTTGCTGACCTGTCCCTTCTTCATCCAAGAAACTTTGATGAAGTCCCATCAGAGGCTATGGAAGAGCTGTAAAAGTATTTACTGAGATTTGACGATAACGTCACCGCTGAAAGGCTGCGAACAGAATTGCAAAGCTTTGGAGAACAATGGAAATCACTGAAGCAGTCAGTTGCAGACCACTGTGAGGTGAAAGACAGCGATATTCTCTGTGAATCAGAACTGAGGACACAAAATGTTTCAAGTTCCACTGTTACATGTATCTCATGCAAGGTTTGCCCTCTCTGCTGTTACAAGGTGCTACTCAAGTTGAACCTCTTCACCGATGCTTACAAAGGCATTGGAGTTGCTTACAAGCTACAACTAACCCTGCATGTGTCGTTTTCTGCCCTGAAGGGGATCAAAACCTGTCGCCGAAGCACAATGACACCAGATTATCTTGAGGCATTTATTCTGGTGTCAGTGGAAAAGGAGATCTTGCCCAAACTGGACAATAAAGACATCATTGATGCTGTGGCCGCAGGCTTCTACTCTCTTAGGAATGCTCCGGGATGAGTTCTTGTGCTAATGTTGTTTTGATTTGGTTGTACGACATGTATATATTATATATTGCAAAGTTACTTATCACACACACACACACAACCCCCCCCCACATACACACACATATACCTACCTACCTACCTACCTACCTACCTACCTACCTACCTACCTACCTACCTACCTACCTACCTACCTACCTTCCTACCTACATACAAACATACATACATACATAACGTACACTCACACGTACGCACACAAATACGCACGCACAATATATAAATATGGGTGTGTTTTTTTTGTCTGTTTGTGTGCTCTAACTAGCAACATAATAATAGTATGGAGGCTTAGAAAGATGTTGGCTTTGCATGTTCTACTAGGCCTTAGTGGGCCGGTACGGATGACAAATGCCCGGGCCGGTTTTAAGACCCAGTCCGTCCCTGTCTCTCTCTCTCTCTCTCTCTCTCTCTCTCTCTCTCTCTCTCTCTCTCTCTCTCTCTCTCTCTCTCTCGTTCCCCCCCATTCACACTCTCTCTATATCTCCCCTCTCTTCTTTCCCCCCTCTCTCTCTCTTTCACTCTCTCTCTCTCTCCCCTCTCTTCCCTCCCCCTCCTCTCTCTCTCTTTAACTCTCTCTCTCTCTCTCTCTCTTTAACTCTCTCTCTCCCTCTCTCTCTCTCTCTCTCTCTCGCTCCTGATCTCTTCCCTAAACGCCACCAGCAGTCCATCGTCCGCCTACACTCACAAAACTCTTCATCAGCCTGTAGCTCTATATCTAATGCTCCTGGGTATTCAAGCAGCCAGCCGAGGAAATCACAACTGGCTGGAAGCCCATCATTCAGAGATCTTTGTCCAATCAAGCGTTGTCAAAGCCAGCCTAGACTTGATTAAATCGCTATCGGTTCTCTGTTCAGCCCTATGTTATTTGTTGTAGTTGTTGTTGCTGTTGTTAATGCTGTTGTCGTCGTGGTCGTGGTCGTCATCGTCGGTGTTGTTTATTTATTTATAATATATATAATTTTTAAAAAAATATTTTTGTTTTTTTAAAGAATTCTATTTTCACAGGTAATCCTTATTACAAAAAGGCATTTTAAAAATAAATGTCAGACACACAAAGGCGTACAAAGGTGTAAAAACAGCGTAAGAACAAAAGAGGTCTAAAAAAACACACCACACCACAGCGAACAACAGCAGCAAAAGCAACAACAAAAGCAACAAAAACAACAACAGCAGCAGCTACAACACAAACCCAAACACACGAAAAATAGCATCAACTATAAAAAAAATTCTTTACCGATTTGATTTTTATTTTTCTTTGTTTCCCTTTTCTTTGGTATTTTGTGCTTTCTTTCAAGCTACCGGATTAATTTAGAATCCAAAAGACATCAAAGAAGTCCCATTAAAAGCGCTGACATGGAGAAAAAAACAACAACAACAAAAAAACAAAAACATAAAAACAATACATCTGAAAAACAAAACTAGGTGTCGCATCGGGAGTAGAAACTCCTGGCATTATTTTGACAGTTTTTTTGTGTCAGAAAGCTCAACTTATTCTGAAAGGCCATTGGTCATATGCCTCTTGAAGACAGGCGGGTGTCTTTTCCCTCCCCGCCCATCCTAGAAATGAAGGTCATGTGACAATGTACTCTTAGTATAACAAGGTCGCGCCCGCGCGCGTGTGTGTGTGTGTGTTTGTGTGTGTATGTTTGTGTGTGTATGTGTGTGCGTGTTCGTGCGCGTGCGTGTGTGTGAGTATGTGTGTGTGTGTGTATGTGTGTGTGTGTGTGTGTGTGTGTGTGTGTGTGTGTGTGTGTGTGTGTGTGACCTGTTATGTTGTTTGTCTATTTACTAGAGAACATTAATATTTTCACATTTCATCGTTCAGCTGTTGAAGTGTACTCAACCCACACTTTATCATTTTTATTTCTGATTGAGGTTTCTTAATCTGTGAAATCGGTTGTGTGTGCTGATAAAATGTTTTGCCGAAATTCAAATGCTGAAATATGCTAGAAAAAATACATAATGTTGGTATAACTCTTAAAGGAAAGAAACAGTTGGGTTATTATTTCTCTCCTGAACCCCCCCCAAACTTTCTGGCTTAGTACTATTGAACATCTGGCCGACAATTTGTTTATTTCATATGCTTTATAAAACAGTTTGGTTTTATATAGGATGGATCTGCTGGATTTCATAGATTTGATGTACTGACAGTTAACAACAACAGCTTAAATGGCGTGCCATAGTACTAAAAATATATGGGGCTCTTACTATTTTATTCTGTCTTTATATGTCAAACAAACAGCTTCGGATTTGTATAGATAATTTTGTAGGTTCTTTTTCCACTTTGGTAAGGTTGGATTTTTATGAATAACGATGACACGGCAGCGATGAAAAGAAGGTAGTCATTTCTACAAGCTTAGAGGGAGCCTTTCATGGCAAAGGGTGCACTATTAAAATTAATATTTTCGACTTTAGCTGGAAACAGTGATAATCTTATTCACCTGCTGAACGATGATAATGACGACAATGACAAAAATCAAGACTGAAGCAATGATAGTAACATAAAGAGTGAGTAAGGAGAGAAGGAGATGGACGAGGCTTGCGGTAGAGGGTGGGGGTGAGATAAGAGCAATAACACAAGAATTGCCACCGTCATCCCCGAGCACAGCAACAAAAATCGCATCATGATCATCTTCATCATCATCATCATCATCATCATCATCATCATCATCATCATCATCATCATCTACAACAACAACAACAACAACAACGACAACAACAGCATTAACAACAACAATGATAATTACAACAACATCAACAACAGCAACAACAACAACTACAAAAGAAACAACGGTAAAGGAAAAAAAACGGTAAAATGTCTCCCAAAAAAATCAATAGTGCCAAAAAGGAAGCAAATAAACAAACAAATTAATAAATAAATAAATACACGAGTCAACTCACCAAGCTATGAACAATTAAAAAGCCCCGGCAAATACCTTTAAGCCTCGCTCTCCAGAACAGAAGCGTGTCTGGAGTCAGCGTCTATTTCTACAGGAATCTGGCTCGCTTTGAGCGGTACACCCACCACAACACTGCGCAGTGGAGAGTCGTGAGGGATTGCTGCCGACTTACCGCCCAGGCTGCCTCGCTGGAAGTGAAGCTCACGCCCACTTTCACTCGTCAGCAGCGGCCAAGAAGGGGTGGACACTTAACTCAACCCCCCCCCCCCCACCCTTCCGCCCTTAATATTTACATCCACGCACGTACGCCCGCACGCAAAATAAAGCGAGCAAGCGGGGGAAAATGCCGATTTAGATGTCAAGAGCCACCGGATCACGATTTTGTTTTCTGTCTTTAAACAAGTACAGGTTGTTTAACTTTTCGTGACCTGTTTTCTTGTAAAAGATCATCGTGTTCGATTTTGGTTCTGATGTGTGCGGTTGTCGAAAGTCTAATTCAGGGGCAGCACCCCTCAAGTTAAATGCATCTCGAGCTCAGAGAAAGAGGTGGGATGTAGTTTATTTCAGCTTTTTAAAAGATAACAATATATAGGAATAATATGTACATCTCATCACTCACTTTGATCGCTTTTTCTGTCACGAACGTAGGTCTAGAACTAGAAGGGTTCAACAGAACACTGTTTTCACTGGGGTCAAAAGGTCGGTTTTGTTTTAGCAAGAGTTTTACGGCACAAGCAACATAGTAAGGTCACATAAGTGCCGAAGATTAGGGGTGTTACAAGAGAGTAATAAACAAAACAAAGAAGGAAGAGAGATAAGGATGATAGGTGTTTGATAGGAAAGATGGAGCAGACCACACCACAGCACCCACCAACCACCTACTCAAAACGTCTGTCTATAAACAGATTTAATTACGTTAATTAATTAATTATCGTTCATGGTCAAAGTTAATTCTAGTTAGTCCTGTTTCCTGACACGACCAGGTCAAACGATCCGACAAGTTGAGCAAGTACATGGGGAACTTTATACCTACAGATGTATAGATGTCTTGTTGTTGTGTTGGTCGAGATAGTGATAATGACGGCACAGGGGCGTGTGTATGGGTGTAACCGTGATATTAAACGCCAACCGTGGGCGTGTGACCCTGATATTAATCTGTCTCCCTCCCCCTCTCCCTCTCCCTCTCCCTCCCTTTCTCTCTTTTTCTGTCTGTCTGTCTGTCTATCTCTCTTTCCATCTGCCTCTCTATCTCTCCCCCCCCCTCTCTGT